AAAAAAATTCTCATTTTTTCGACAAAAATAAATATATGAATGTATTGAAATTTAGCTTCTTCAATGCAATGTATGTGAAGTGATAATCGGTAAAGATTGAATGGATTGTTTTATCACTCCATCGATTACACTCTGCACAAATTCAAATGTTCTAAATTTTTTTTTTTTTCGTCGACATATCGCTCATTTGTTCATTATTTTTGTACAACAAAGGAATGTAATCTGGACGCCAAAAAATAACATCAAAGCTTTTATCATTAAAATATAATAAAGAGTATTTTTAATAAATAATTTTGAATTGGATTAAAACTAATAAAGTAATGTCAATCAACAAATAAAACATTATTATGCTGAAAAGGAATGTAAGATAATCCAATAAAAACTAATAATTCAAAGGTGTTGTTTTAAAAACTTTAAACAGATTAATATTGCTATTTTTAATTAGCATAAAGCTGTTTGAAACTTTTTGTTATTTCGTTTGTTATGAATTTGGTAAAGTCACAATCGCAAGACGTAATTTTGTTTTCAAAATATCACCAGATATATTTCTGATATGTGAAATTTTTTGGTTCATAATTTTTTTGCTGCATCATTATTTTTAATAAACAATAAAATTTAAAAATAATGTACGACGATGAATAAACAGAATCATTTTCCCAAGGTAATATCTTGAAAATTGTTACCAACATTTTATTTTCTTGCAGTATTTATCATTAAAAAAAAAAAAAGAAGAACTTTTACTTATTACTTTAAAAATGAATTATAAAAGATGCAAAAGTTTTTCTTTTACAAATTATACGAAATGTTTTTTGTAAATTGCAACCAACTAAAGAAAATTTATTCTCTTGCTTACCATTAATCAGTTAGTTTGCTGATAAAAATAACTTGTTTTGCATTCTCAATCAATATATTTTGTAAAATTTTTATTTTTTGGACATTTTTTTTTTTTTGCCTGAAAGTGTAGTCTTAAGTGCTGATGACACAAATAAAACCACTAGAAGTTTTGCTAAAAAAAAAAAAAAAAAATGGAGAAATTGACAAGAATAGTTTTGATGACAACGAAGTTGCTGTCCTATAAGACTAAGTTTAATGAACGATTAGGGAGGAAATCGATGTTTGAAATGAAATTTACAATTAATTGAAATTGTGCAGGAAAATAAAGAAATTTATGCTGATAATTGGTCAAACTTTCATTAAAAATTTGGAATACGAATAGAAATTGTTCACAATTTTTTTTTCTTTTTTGTTCCAAGTTTTAAAATCTCTTCTCATTCAATAAAATTGTTTTTTTTTTTTTTCCAAATTTGAACTTACAAGGCCGTAAACTTACAGGGTACACGTTGTAATTGCTCTTTTCTGCTCAGTACATGATTTCATATCATAAATTTAAAATTATCGAAGATCGAAACTATTATTTAATAATACAAGCATAATGAAAAAAAAAAAAAACTTTCAAAGAAGAAAGAAACCGACAACAAAATATATGAATTTACTTAATACATATGTATGTGATAATAGAAATATTACCTGCTTCAAAAATATTATAATATTAGGTTATATAATTAATAATATGAAAATATCATATATAACTAGTAATATGAAATTATCATAAATAATAGTTCGACTGATATATCTCTTACTAATGTTAGAATTAAAAATAATTATTCAAGAGAATGTTTTTTTTTTTCTTTTTCCTTTTTCATAAATTACACCTAAAATTAGATGTATTTTCAAAGTGGAACACTTGGTACAGTGCATATCAACGATTGTCAAATATAAATGATATAGTAAAGATAACCGAGCGCATAACTGTGTTACAGCAAAATAATGCCGAAGGAATGATGTCGCCAACCTTATCGTTATCATCGTTACGTTTTCTTTTACTCTCCAAAACTTCAAATCATTTTATTGTCGTTTGAACATGTTAAGGAAAAGATGAGATGAAGAACTGATTGGTGATATATTGGTGTGCATTAATTGATTTACTAGAATTTATATTTACATATTTCTATGTAATGTATCAATAATCAATATGTATATGATATATCTAAATATATGAATACAAGAATAATGATAGTATGCAAGAAATTATTAATATTTTATAGCTATAAGTTTTTATTGTCGTCCTGATGACCATAATCGCCATCACAGTTGTAATGGGACAATTGACAATCGCAGTTGTGAAAGGACTGTCGCCACCGTTGTTACTATCATTGTCGCCAGTGCATCGCTATTGCTGTCGCCCAACATCATTGCCATGGTTATCGTCATCGATGCTGTCGTCTGAATAACGAGCTCTCATTGGCAAGTTAACGGGCAACTTTTTGGGCGAGGTTATCTCGTCGTCTTGTGAATTTCGTACATGCTGCAACGGTCAACATTATTGGTACAACTTAAACTGCTGCAGTTAGCCGATGATTATTGTTATATCATTATTCCTAGACTTATTGATCGTTAACATACTGAATCGTAAATATCTTGGAACATATGCTTATCCATCCTATCCATTGCGTCATCCCGAAAATGATTGGATATCGGTACATCGTCATTTAAATGCACCGGATATCATCCATTTTACCAAATGCTCATCACCTATAGCAACATGCTCAACAATTCTCGATTCATCTATTGTCCCAGATCAAGAACATGGACTAGTTACAAAACAACAATGCTCCTGTCAATGTAAAGCAGATGCTGCTGTATTTTTGCCTTCTACTCGGAGCTGTATCAATAAACTTGGTACATTTACATAATTTTGTCATTGTATATTTTACATTTCGCATAACCTAATTTTTCTACCAATTCAACAATTCTTTCTACATTTATTGTTTGGTGCACATTGCACATTATGTATTTTTTGTTGCCATCATTCTTAATAATTTCTTAGAAACTTATTCAAAATTTGCTAAATTTGAAAAAAAAAAAAGAATTTAAAGAAAGAATTAAAATTAGGAAAAATTTCTGGAAAATGGAAAATAAAACATAATGTGAAAATATGCATGCATCTTTTACATTACTTATTCAATGCAATGGAACTATAATAAATGATTACCTCCAACAATAATATTCTCTTATAAATACTAGTTTGAAAATTCTCTAATAAATAATTCTTTAATACTAAAAATTTTCAAATAAATAAATTAAATCAATTAATGAAGAAGTTCACTTATTTTTTTTTATAGACTTTTTTAAAAAAAATAGAATGAAAAAGAGAAAAAATTCTTTCCAATCATATGATCATTTGTTCGGATTAATCCATATATAGAATCATCTCTTAATTATACCAGCAAATTCGAAAATTGGAATCATTATAAATCTTCTCTTCTCATCTTTTTGTTACAAATCACTTTGAGAAGCAAAATTGAGATGCAAATTTTGCTTAGTAAAATTTTGTTAATTATTTTAATTGTAATATACAAAAATGAAATTGGCCAATTTAGGTTCACTTGTTTTTGCTACTTTATTTGCCAAACCCTAATTGATGATCTTGTTCTTTTGTATTTTATACTAAACATTTATTTCAAAATTTTTTGTTCATCTATCGATTAGTTAAGACATCAGCAAATTGAAAATAGGTGACAAAAGAAGAGGAAAAGAAGAAGTGGAATGTCCTCGGTTTACTACATTTTTCCTTTCTTCTAAACAATGCGCAAAAATTCCACTCATTGAAATGGCCGCATATTTTTTCCCTTTTTTTTTTATTCTTGCAAAATAAAAGCTACAGATGATATATTATTGTCTAGTATAATATTAAAGCTTAATTTTACCATAGGATAATTAAGTCTATAAGAAAAAAGTTAAATTTTTGATAATAATAGCCAGAAATTATGTTAAAATTTATCACTCAATAAGGCATTATATTATGCCATTTACTCAACACTTTTTAGTCTAATTCTTTGCATTTCTTTAAGTATGCTTATAAAATAACAATTTTTCTTCAATTTCTACTTGCTAACATTTTATGTTTTCAATTAAACTATGATTATAGTTATATCAATAACACTATTTTAATTATAACGAAAAAAAAAAAGAAGAAAAGTTTATTTTCTATTTTAATTAAAGAACTAAAAAAGGATTATTACCAAAATAAATTAACTAAAATCAAATATAAATTCTAAGTCAATGAGATGCATTATAATGAAATTTGTAATTTTTTCCGAAGTCAATTCAATAATGACTTGTATTTCCCTTCAATTATATCTTATCTTTTAAAATCTCAGATGAATGCCGTCAACAAATACCGTTTCAATCTATCAATGATAATTCTAAACGATGGTTACCAACTTTTAGCATACCAGCAACAAATAGCATTTTTGCTCCTTCACACATTATTCTTTGGAATGGTAAACTTTTTTTTTTTTTTTTTTTAATATATTACTTTTTTTCTGGTATTTGTATTTATAATGATAGGTATGTGTAAGAGTATAAGTAATATATCAGATATTCGTGTTAATCATTAAATTTTTTAAGGTTTGGAAAAAAAAGCAAAAAAAAAAAATTATTTCAGAAGTGATAAAACGAAGAAAAGATATTGCTGAAGATGAATTAAAATGCTTTGTAAGGGATACTTTTGTACAAACCGACGATCTATGGATATTACACAATGATAGTAAATTGTTTAAATTGGAAAACTACAATTACACTAATTATCTTATTGTATGCAATTGGTATTATTACATTCATTTATTTAACATTTCTTATGCTTGTTTGTTGAGTAGCAAATAAATTTATCCTAATAATTAAATTAATTAAACTATATATTAACTAATCCTTCAATTAACATTTACTTCAAACCATTTATTAATCATTTTTGGTAAATAATATTTTTATTAATTCAAAAAAAATAGTGCTTTTTTTTTGCTTCACTTATTCCCATTTTTAAAAGCTTTAAATGGAAAATATTTTGAATGAAAAAATAGAAAATCATTTTTTAATGAAAAATTTCTAAATTTTCCATTTTTTTTTTCTAGTGGACGGGAAGCGAAACAGATGCTAAAAGAATGGAAGGCAGTATTATACAGCTAAAAATATTCTGCAACAATGCTATTTCTGAATTATATTGCATTGCATTTCGAATTGCTGGCGTACATGGTAAAATTTTTATTGATAATTTGAATGATTGATTGATAAAAGGAAATGGAATAGAATTTATAATTGTTTATTTTTTATATCGGATTAAATTGAAGCAATTTAATTTTTCTTGTAAGTAGTGAATGTAAATGAATGAAATAAAAATGATGTGGTAGATAAGATTATAAAATACTTTTCAAACTATTGCCAATTATGTTAAATTGTATATAGCAGAGTAAATATAACCAATGTTAGCATTAAATAAAAAATAGAAGCTAATTTGAAAAATGAAAAAATTCAAATTAAAAAGAGATTTTTAGTGAATGCTAATTTGACTCATCGTTTTAATGATATGCAATGGAATCGAGTTGAATTAATCATATGCGTATTACTTACAACATTGCTTGGCATAACATTATTTGGTGGGATTGCATTATGGAAAGTATGTTGGAAAAAGGAAAAAAGTAAACTCGTCTCAACGATGCAGATGCAATTTCTCTATCATATGAAACAGCAACAGGTGTGTTCATTTTTATTTTTTCAAACTGATAAGTTATACTTATCAATTATCAGGTTGTAAATGATAGTGATAATAATTATTATTGTTATAATATTATTTAATAATTAATAATTAAAATTAACTGGTGTGAAATAATTTATATATCGCCAGTCATCAAATTAATCAAGGAATTAATAATAAATGTGTATAAAATATTAGGACGGAAATGATTATGTTAGTACAACAAAACCAATTTTGTATTTTTTTTTTTTTTTGATTATCTTGATTAGTCGGAGGTAAGTCTAATGATAATTGTATTACCTTTGCATTTTCAGTTTCTTAATTTAGATTTTGTTCAAGTTTTTTTTTTCTTTGAAAACCTACAACTTAAATGATAAAATTTAAGAAAAATTTTAAGAGGCAATTTTTTTCTTAGCTTTTAGATTTTCCATTACATTTAAATAATATTTGTAATTTACAATATGAAATTATTGAAAATACACATTTTTCAGGTATATATGCAGGAGCAAATAGCTTCAATAAAAGCAAGCATTGAACGACATCCAACGTTTGAGAATGAAACTGACCAGTGTCCAACAAATGTTGGAATACAGAAGAGGAAACTATACTTTAGTGCTGGTATTTTTTTTTCAGTCATTTTCATATTCTTACATGTATAATTTAAAATCGAAATTTAGTTTTAAAATTGAAATGCTTTGTGATAATTTTTACCCGCATCCTGCAACAAATATTAAAATAGTATTTCTGCTGATATAAATTGGGAAATTTGATCTATTTAATACAAATTTACATACATTTTTCATTGCAACTCCTCTTTTTAAATACTTCAATAATCGCAATAAATATGGGAAAAATGGATCTTTCCGAGATTTGAAACATAAACTATGGCATGCTGAAATGTTGATGTAACATTACACTTCAATTTTGATTAAAATAATTATTGCAGATTTCTTCGAACCTGAGCTAATGGCTAATCCCCCGGTGTTAGCTGTGCAATTTGTATACGAACTACGGAAGATGATTGATATAGCCAAGGATCGTATTCGGATGAAACGACATGTTCCGACTCTAACAACCATTTCAGAAGATAGCGAAAGCGATGAATATTTAGAAATACCTCGACCACCAAGTCGAATGAATGAACGTATTGATGAGCTTTCACCAAAATCTCTAAATTCAGTGGATTCTGGATGTGACTCGATGAGTGATGAAGATGTTCAAAATCAAAAAGTATTAACTCAAGATCAGGAACAAGAATCAGAGCAAATACGGAAAACGGATAAGAATGGAAAGTGGAATGAGAATGAGTCAGAAAGAAAAAGAAAAGAAAATGAAAACATGCAACCGAATTCCTGTCATCAAAAAGTCCGGCAATGTACAATAATACCAAATAAAGTCAACAATTTGATGCCACGACCAGTCACTAAAGTTGTACAAATTTCTAGGATACCTACTACCACATCACCATCTCGAGTAACCTTAGTGACAACAACACAACGGCTTAATCCAAAACCTTTTTTATCGACTGATTTATCCAAAGCAATTTATGATCGACAAAATGGTGCGAATGCATTAATGGAAAATGCCATTTCATCTACTGCATCCAAATTACCAAATTTGGTATCAATAAAACGTGAACCACCAAATCTGAAACGTATTCTGAATAACGTGCCACCACCCTTACCTGAAACTACTCCACCAAGTACGCCACCACCATGTCGTAATCGATTATATAGCGGTCGGCGGAAAGCTTATGCTGTTTTTCCAAACAGTGATTTGATGCTTAAAAAGTCATTACCACGGCGATCAAAACGACAACAAAGATTTGGAACTGCTACTGCAGTTGCTGTGCAAACAACATTATCATTATCACCTCCGCTACCAGTACCATCATCCTCATCAACATCGGTGTTGCAATCATCACCACAGTCATCATCATCGTCATTATCATCATCTTCATCATCATCATCAACATCATCATCATTATCTTGTGTATCATCCACTACGTAATAAGTTGTTTCTGGGTCATATGATTCGGGTTTCACATTTTCTTTTCATTAACATTTGCAATAATCTACAAAAATTTTCAATTTGCTACTTTTATTGTTTCAGTGATTTATCTCTTACACTTTTTTTCCCCTTTCAGTTAGAAATTAAATGAAAAAAGAGAAAATTGATGCGATATTTTGTGTGTGTGTGTGCGTGTGTTTTTTTTCTTCACGTGACAGGATAATTATTAAGATGGAATAGAAAAGTAAGATTTTCTAATTAAACTTGATTAAAAAGTAAGCTATTCTAAATAATTTCTTACTTTTAAGTATATTTAAATATGTAGAAATATAAAATTCCATTGATACGTTGATGATACGTCGTTTAAAGGGGCGAAAACTTCTAAAAAGAGGTCACTTATTATTGAACAGCATTTAAAGGGACGAAAGGGATGATTTAATTGGTTTCACCAAACACTTATTTAATTGTACTATAAGCAAATGCTTGTATCTAATAGCTCAAAACAATCGTATCTCACTTAACTATTCATGACATTTACTTTTATTTCAAAAATATCAAGAATCGTATTTGCTGAAGGTTTGTGTTCTTTCGACAGTCTTAATAACGAAAACTGTTGGAAATTTCACAAAACCATAAGTCTCGTAATCTTGAATGTACAATTGTAATCAAGATCGTCGGTACTTAAGAATGTATATTTATAATTCAAACATATGATTTTCTTCGTCAGTGCCATTTATTAGTAATCTGCAGTTTCGCTGTTTTTTTTTTTTTTTTTTTCGTTTTCTTTTTAATTTTCAAATTCGTACATTACCGCAGTTCCTTATTGTTTTTCTCCATTCAAATGTAAAAATTTTTATTCGGTATTTTATGATTTTTTCCACTTCTTTTTCAATTTCTTTCAAACATTTATAGCGTACATTTATTATTATGAATGGATGACGGAAGAAAGTGAAATTTTCAACTTTTAGATTTTGTTCAAAACATACCAAAACAAGGTCGAATTATTTGTTTGTTTTGCTGTTTTAGCTCATTTTTTCTCTAATTATTGCTCATTCACTAAACATCATCAATTTATCAACAAAGAGATTTTAAAAAAAGAGAGAAAAAATAAGTCATACCACGAAATTAAGGCTTTTACAAACGCTATCTCTCAAAAAACGATATCAAATAAATGACGTTTTGTAAGAAAAAAGTAAATAAATAAAAAATCAAATAGGTAATTTGAACAAAAACAACAAAACAAAACAAAAACAAAAAAAAAAAAAAACAAGAATGCATTAATATACTTATTAAATACATATATTTTTAAAAAATTCTCATCTATAATGGATAAAATGTTTTTCAATTTATACAAGGTTTATCTATTGTTGCTCAGCAATAATAATAATGCCACAATAATTATTAATTATTCCCGCATTTTTTTCCTTTTTACTTCTATGTTATGACTTTTTTTAATAAAAATACTGTGCTTTTCTGGGTGATTTTTCTATTATCAAAAAAAGAAATGGGTGAATTACCCATTTCTTTTTTTGCTTTTGGCGAGAAATTTTTCATCAAATCTACTGTCATCATACCGCAAATGTATTATGATGTCTAAGTTGAATTATTTATGAATTAGAAGAAATGCAGTTTTTGAATTGAATCATTTTCAGTTATAATTTTTAATAATTAAAGGGAAAATATATTCGAAACATTTTAATTATTCTCTAAAAGTCTATTTTAACGAATGCCATCAGTCAGTAGATTTTCTGTATCAATCAGAAAACACAATATTGGTGATTATGATGGGCGAAATTTTTCCGCATTCGTACTTTTTATAAAAAGTACGATGATCGATTCAAGAATTACAATGGTATCAAATTTCTCTCATCATTTATCATAATTTGAAATTAAAACAAATGTAACTGGAAAGAATGTTTCAATGTTATACACAAAACAATAATATATGTCAAGTATGTTGACAAATTTTGTTAAATCTGAATTATAGTCATTTTTCAATCGCATTGAATCCAGTTTGATAAAAACAACTTCTGCAAAATTCACTTATATTTAATCAGAAGGAATTTTCGTAGTATTATAAGACATCTAATGATTTTTTTTTTGTTTTAGTCCTTTTTCACTTTTCTTTAACGATTATAATAAAGTAATTTTTATTAAATTTTCTCACATTTGTAACGATGCTTGTGATATCTAAAATCCAACACCCAAATATTATTAAAGGTGACAGAGAGAAAATAAATGATGAAAGGTACCGTTTTAATACAGGAAAACAGAATTATCGAAAGGAGGGTGAAAATAATTTGATCATGCTTGTCATGTGGTTTAATATAAAGCACAGAGGAAATTTTTATTTAGCAGAATGCTTTCCTAATATATTCAAAAATTTCTCATATTTTTGACTCCCCTGAAATACTTACACATGTAGTTAATTTATATTATCGAAAAAAGGAGATCACTTTCATGAATTTCTATCAATTCATTCAGTCATTTATCCATCTATGAAGACAGAAAACCATTTACCCTATGTATTTACTTATTTATGTACTTCATCTTATTGACATTAAAAATGTGATTGATATAGTTATTACTATCAGATAGTGAAGTATTTAGGAAATTTTTAGTTAAACAGTTTTACACATCTTCTGCATGAAACAATCTATAATTATATATATATATATATTTCAATAGAAAGATGTGATACTAACTATTCCAACAATCATTCAAGCAAATTTCAAATTGATTTTATCAACTGCTCACGATTGGCAAAGCTCATATAATCATAAGTTGGAAGAATCGATTATAGTTCTACTTTTTTAAATTAATTATTGTCATATGCATATTTTCAGATCTAATTTGAAAGTGTTGTTTGGATCTATCGTAACTTAATTTGAAATTTCCACTTGTAATCAAATTTAATTTTTGGTTTTAATCAACAGTGTTCAATTTTATTCAGTTATAGTTGCTAAATTATTAATAATGTGCAGATCGAGGGACGAACAAGTTGGTAAGAATTTTCCTCTCTGCTTTATGTAAAAGTGTTGTTGCAAATTTCTGAGAAGCCATCATTATTATCCTTTTACCAAGCAAACAGTGGCAAGTGGTAGTAGATAGTATCAGCTGATGTGCTTGGTAGTGTCAAGTAACAGCAAGTGGTGGAAAGTGATAGCAAGTGGTAGCATGTAGTGAGTGGTAATAGATAGTATCAAGTGGTTGCAAATGGTTGCTATAAGTAATTGGTAGCAGGTGTACCAGGTGAGAGCAGATAAAATCAAATGATAATAAGTGAAACAGTAATCTGCTCAAAATAGACTCGAACGAAAAAAAGAAAAATTTTCTGTTACAAAAACTAAAAATATATTATTTCTGTGAAATAATAATCAAGATATCTTAAATGATTAATATCTAAAATTGATAGCATACATGACATGTGAAATTGAAATTTGAAAGATATCTAATCCAATTCATTTATTGCTTCGTTTTAAAGTTAATTTTCCTTAAATTTTATTAATTTTGATAGATATGCGAGATGCAACATTAATTTAAATAACACAATGAAACAATACAATTAGTATTAGGCACTTTTTTTAATACTTTTTTTTTGACCTACTCCGACAATATGAAAAGCAGTAGACTGAAGTAAAAAAGGAAAAACCAACGAACAATTATGAGAAGCATTTGTAATAAATAAAGTTTTAGTTTCAATAATTGAAAGGAAAAAGTTTTCAACTATCAATCTGGTCTTTAGATAATTAAAAAATTGCACTATAACACATCGATAATAAAAATCGCGAGTTTTAGAAAACAACTACCAAATAGTGAAAAAATAATTCATCATAAGCAGAAAAAAAAAGTTCCAACATGACCTACCAAATATTGAAAATACATATTTTGTTAGGAGTTGGAAACTGACATTAATTATATTATATAATTTTATCAAATTCCTAAAAAACAAAATAGGAGTGAAAAATAAATTCAAAAAAACTAGTATTTTTTATGCCCTCTAAACTAATTTAAAAATATTCATTAAAATTCACTATGGAGAAATTTTATTTTTAATTAGGAGTAAATTTGAAATTAGAATTTAGAAAATCGGAAAAATAGGAAAATAATCGGAAAAAATATTTTTGAGTAAGATAAATAAAGTGGAAACCGAAAATGCAGTGAAACCAAATGAAATACACACGGATTGAGTTATTAGAAAAGCATGCAATTAGCTAGTAGAAACATATGCATAAAGCTAATGCAATGTTAAGAAAAAACATGCAAAAGTAAGTCAAATGCAGAGTGAAAAAAAAAATACATACAAAAAACATGAAAAAAAAACACATGTAGTAGCAAAAATGCATGCAAAACACAATGTTAAGGAAAGGATGTTAAAGTAAGATACAGGTTATGGGGAGGCATAATATCTTCAATTTAAAAAAATGCACTGAATTTAAACGGATCATATAAAATTTAGTAAAGGTAAATTACATACAGGTTAGCAAAAACACATGCAGTTAGTAGAAACACTTGCACTTGCAATTAAGAAAGGGCATGCAGAAGTAAATTACGGAAGACCATGAATAAAAGATGCAGATTATGGCGAGGTACATTATATTTAATTTAAAAAAAAATGGATTGAATCTGAAATGTATCACACAAAATGCAGTAAATATGAAATACATAAAAGTTATCAGAAAAGTATGCAGATATTGAATTGAATATGCAGTTAGGAAAAGGTATGCAAAAAGCAAATGAAGAAGGGGCTATAAACATGCAAGAAGTGCAAATATCTTTGATTAAATGCATTAAAATCACAAAGGAACGTCACAAGTGAAGTAACTTATTAGTCAAAATTTGCAAAAATACAGATTATGGGAAAACATAAAGTGAAATTTTAAAAAAAGCATGAAAAGAAATTAATAAAGAACCTGCAAATAGAATGGGGATAAATGCATGTGAAATTGTTGACACAGTAGATCAAAGGTTACAAAAGGTACAAATTACAGATGAGTAAA